ACTGTCTCTGCATGACCCAGATACTCATCTGTAAGGGACACAAGGTCGTTCTTATCCATTCATGCTTTGGTGGCCATCAGCTGGATCTGACTCTTGCTTAGCCGTTGTGTCCTTATCAGCACTGTCTTGTAGCACAGAGAATTGGAGTTGGGGTCCAGCTCTGCTTCTGACAGGATAATGTGTCAGGAGGTAAAGCAGGACGTGCAGCCAGCCTCAGCGAGGAACCAGCTTCTTTTCCGCGGCCCACTGCAGCCCCCATCGCCACTCTAGGGATTGAGAGCAGTGGCGTTGCCTTTATCAGGATAAGGCACCTATCTGCAGCCCTGCAGGCTGGTAGGAGCTCTCGTTGACAGTGGTGACAGCAGTGACAATGTTACACCTGCCCAGGCAGATCCCCTCTACTTCAATGAAGAGTCACTACAAAAAATCTTGGAGAAATTATGCCTGGATTAATGTAGGCATAGGAGGAGAGGAGCTTATGCTCCATGAAGTTGCGGGAAACGTATCTGCCCTTTGGCAGTGAAGAAGTTGTAGATGGGATGCATACGTGTTTCAAATTGCACTGCTTCTTGTTATAATGCTGTTAGAACTGCAGTCAGCAGTTGGAGATTAAGAAGGGGATATGAGGATATAATGTGGAATTGAACAATTACCTTCTCCACCTGGAACTCGAGCTGCCTCTGGGAGGTGAGGAGGGAGAGGTTACCTCAGAAGATGATTGTGCAACTATAACCACCTCACGCCTCAGGCTTCCAACGTGTTAAGGCAGCTGAGGTCTCATGCCCGAATTATGAGCTCTGTAATGTGCCAAAACTCTAATGTCTGTTTTAATCTGAAAATAGTTATTATGACAATACAAAGCCTTTTTAAAAACAGTGCCATGTATCACAGAGTGATTTACAGTTGCTTAGCTATCTCCAAATGCTACATTTAGTGGATACACTATAAATTTTAACATACACTTGTCTGTGTAGTCCAGAAGTGGCTCCTCCAGAAGAGGAGCTTTTATAGATTTTTTTCCTGTTTTTGTTTGTTTGGTTGGTTTTTTTGGTGGGTTTTTTTTGTTTTATTTCCCCTTTAATTATTTTTGTGGAGCAGCTTCTCCTTTTGGATCTCTCATCCTTCTGAGTCCAAGATGCCTCAAGGGAAATTTTCTGCATAAAAAGCTTCTTTCAGTTCTTTATTAATGTGGAAAATATTGTCATTTTTTCTGCAGTATTGCACTCATCTTTTGTCTCAATGATGGCTAAGCTGGAATAAATGGTTCCTGGATGCTGTGTGACATGGTCAGTATTTACTTGGAAGATTACTTGAGAACCTCAAGTGTTGTGAGAATAGGCTGAGAAAAGCAGTATTTGAACACTTAATAAGTGCAAGCTTTTAAATAGATGAGCAAAAAGATTTCATGTGGGCCTGTTGAGTTGGTTCTACTTCTTAATCCAATTTTTCTGGCTAAAAAGGACTATATTTTAATGGAGAACTGTAGTATTGTTCTAAATATTTATTTCATTAGCTGCCATTCCTGCAATGCATTGGCTTTAGCCATTCCTTTTTGTGAACAGTTTTACCACATAACGCATCACTGAGATTGCATTCTCCTCTGGGTTTCTATGCCACCACTACCAGCATGGTTTCAGCTGAGGCTTAGAAAAGATTTTTGGATAGGGAAGTCTAAATTGAGCTACAAGTTTGTCATTCTGTATGAATTCCCTTACTGGTCCTGTTGACTGGTGGTATTTTCAGTATTCCTTCTTGGGTTTTGCTGAACCTGAGTCATTTCTGCTGCTGTATTTGGGGAGAAAAATGTGACATGGCACTTGAAAAGGTTTCAGAAAGTGGGAAAGCCAGAATTTGACAATTGCTCTGACATAGAAATAGTTGGAGGGTTGAGTTAGAATGCTGACATAGAAATGGGGAACTGAGTTGTCCCTGGTACAGCACTGTTGGTCTTGTAACGCCAGGACGCCCGTATCATCTTTTTAGTGTGGTGGAGATCTTGGTATTACAGCTTCAGACTGGACAAAAGAGGACAGTGATCATTCCCTGAAGAAAACAGGGAATGTTTGTGTCCGGTTTGCACTGGGTTTAGATTAGCAATAAGATGGTTTGTTATTAGGAGTTGGTAGTGCTACATCCTGTAGCTTCTGCATTTCGGAAGTTGGATAAATAATTCCCACCTTAAGAAAGGACAAGTACTGGGTTGGGTTTTTATACACGAAAATTTATAGTTATGGTGGTGTGAGTCCAGAGGTGATGAGAGCAAGACTTTCATAGAGCTCAAGATTTTTGAGTCCTGCAGGCTGGAGAGAGCTCAATTGCTGGTGTAGGGTATGTCACGAGTAAATTGGGGTTGGGTGGACTGGAGCAGAGGGAGCTGAGAGAATCAGATTTCTTTTTGAGAAGAGTATTTGCTGTGGTGATCTTGTCTATGTACTTCTAAAATGTCCTGTGGATTCTGATGACAAAAGGCAGACCCTTGTCTTCCTGCGTTTTCTTCATTCATGTTGTATGTCAGTCAATACGCACATCCACACATGGTGTGGGGTTATATTTTTCTTTAGGCATACTATGTTGATTATTCTCACAGGTAATGTGTGTGTTTTATGTTAGATAAGTTGAAATTTTGTGGGTTTTGGAAGGTTCAGCTCTGAATTTGAATTCAGGCCTGCAAATTGTCCCTAAACTGAATAGATTTTGAAGTCAGTTTATCTAAACCATGAAATAACTCTTACCAGCCATTGATAGAGCTCTTAAATCTAGTGTAATTAACTGGCCTGATAACAGTGGATTTAATACATATTCAGTGTTTTCCTACATGTTTAAACGTGATTATTAAGTGACTGCAGCACCATCTTCAGTCATTGCAGCTTTCCTTCTGACACCACAGTAGATCCACAAAAAAGCCTATCTGGCTGCCAACATAAAGACGGGGGCAGGAAAAGACTGCAGGAACGGGCCTGCAGAGGGAGGGTGAGCTTGCCGTGTTCTTGGAGAGGGAAAGGTGGGACAAGTATGGGACAGGGGCTGGAGAGAGGAAAGGGTGCAAAGACAGAGGCAGTGACTGTGCTGGTGACTCCATCCAGAGCGATGGCAGAGCTGAGCGAAGAGCTCTTGGCACCTTGGAAGGTGAGGATACGAACACTTGTTGCAAGGAGCGTCTGTAATTGCTAGGGATTAGGAACTGGATGGACTGCTCTTAGAGCAGGCTTGTTCATTGCTCCATGGTTATTCAGTTGTTAACAGCTTTCCTTAATAAAGACACAATTTTCTCCAACTGCAATGTGTTTTCAATACTTTTTAACCAGAAAGAATAATACTTTGCTATTTGGTAACTTAGAGGGATTCACAAAGTTGATTAGGAGCTCAACTTATTTATTTTTCTTTCTACTTGACAAAATAATTTAAACTTAGAAAAGAGTTGAGTAGGCTAGGGCAGTCATAGATTTGTCTTAGGATGACAAGGCTACTAATGACTTTTTTCCTTTACCTGAAATTTTATTCTTTATTTTTAATTTCTATACACAGGTTTTGGTGTTGCTTGAGACTACCAACTTGTCTCTCTCTCAGCTGTGCATCCTCTGCAATGTGTGTGCCTGTGCATGTTATGTGCAGTCATGCATGTCTGGGGTTTTTCGCCCGTGGCTGATCCAGCTGTCGCTGGCCAAGGGGATGCAGGCGGCAGGGCTCAGCTGTCTGAGGTCAGGGAAGAGGTTTTTCATACACTGAGCTGATGAGTTTTCACCATTGGTTCATCCCGTTCCAGTGAAGTACGTCACAGGGGATTTCCCCAAAAGACTGGATGCTAATACGCAAGGAGAGGTGACTCTGACAAACAGATGGGGTGCGTGCTGCTCTTCATGGAGAAAAGCAGTCTCGAAACAAAAATTCTGGTATGACTTGAGTGTTGCCAGGAGTAATTTGGATTTGTGTATGTCAGCCCTCCTGTGTTTACTTTGGAAAACACAGGGCACGGTTAGCAAACTAACAGCAATGTTGCTGTTGATGATTTCTGATATTAGGAGCTTCACCTTTAAATTCACTTTCCTAGGCTACTGAGCTGGCATATTGTCTTTTTTAAATCTCCTATAAGCAACATTTGATCAGTTATGATGTGAAAGCATTTCCATTTAATCTTCAGCAGATACCTAATGTAATAACCTTTGACAAATTTTCATCCCAAATAAAGTTCCATTCAGGCATTTTTTTTGTATTCAGGGAGTAAGTGTGAAAGAGAGAAGAATGGTGTGTGTTGTTTTTATAAAGCTCACTATAGATCAGCTGATGTAAAAGGTACTGTCTTAAAATACTTGCCATGATGCTATTTACCAGTAGTTTTTCAGGTTCATTGCTCACTATGAACAGGCATTTTACACATTTTAAATTTAATCTCTAGAAAAGTGCCAAGTCTCCACACAGTTAACTTAAAATTTCAAGTCCTTATGTTTCTGCCTCAGCTGGGAAGGCCCCCTGTTTGTTGGCTTTTGAGTGGGGTTTATGTACTTGCTCTGTGACTCAATTAAGCAAAGCCTAAATTTACTGCTCTTTGAAAGGACACTGAAGGCTCTCCTGGATAGACTGTGTGAATGCTGGCATAGAGTGTACTTTGGAAAAAGCACTTAAATTGCTGCTGTCTAGGCCCAAGGCAGTGGGAAACTGGGGCATCCAAGGCTGGATCTGAGTGAAAGCCAGTAGGAGAACCTTACAAAAAGGGAACAAAGCGCTTTGGGCTGTGATGCTCTAGAAAGAAGCAGGGAGACAAATTTGGAAGTGGACTGTGGGTCAGGTTTTAGCAGGGTTTTGTTGTACTGGAAAGACCAAAAACTGGTGGTTAAAGTGCAAAACCATCAACCTGGACAGAGAAGTTGGTATATTTTGAATTTTGAAAAGCCTAAAAAGTTACTTTGCATGTATGCATAGATGTATATATGCACATGTACACACCATATGTATGTATCTATATGTATATATATA